CGGCACACAATTTATATATATGGAATGTTCATGGGGTAAGCACGTTTTCGCTATGATTTTATTTTTCAATGCTAAATCGGACACATTGAACAGCACACATAAATTTTTAAGTTGGAGCGCATCTTCAATTTTTAATCGTTTCGCTCATTCATGTTTGTTTCGCGAGCGTGCGCAACTTGCATTCACTTGTTCGTTCGATTTTTCTTTGTTTGAAAGTGTTTTTCGAATAAAAAAAAAAAAAACAGAGTTTCAATTGAATGTGAAATGAACAATGAACGCGAAACGAAAATAAAAATTTTAAGATGGAAAAGATGAAAAACATATAAACACACACACTACTCGGAACAGAGTGTAACAATATAATCGGCTACGGCGAGATTATCAATATCATGAATCATGTATGCGAGAGTATTGTCTATTGAACAAAAATAAAGATGTTAAAATCGTTAAATTCACATTCATAAGAATATATTCAGCATTAACAACAAAAATTTCAAATAAAATGTTTGTATTAATACATTTCCATAGATTTTCATATAGTTGGCTCATGGCCATACGCCAAATCGAACTGAATAACGCGAAAAGCCAAGTGAAACCAAATTGTGATATTCAATTATGATTTCGTCTCTGAATCACTTTCTTCTCGTCTGAAGAAGAAAAAAAAATTAGCTCTATGACTTTTCTATTGGTTGCTGTTAACCTCATGTGAATTTGTAAGAGATATATGTGCTCGCCATTTAAGATAAAAAAAAGAATATATGTATTATTGATGAAGGTAATTTCTTTTGTAGCCAATACTTGCGCGATCGCAATAGAAATTGCGTTAACATTGATATATGATAGGGAGAAAAAGCCACATCATCATCATCATCACCGTGGTAGGAAATGACTAATACATGCCAGTTCAGTTGAAAATTTAGTGGTCAAATATTTTACGGATTTGAATGGAAATGTGAAAACTGTTCGCTTAGTAAAACAATCAAAGACAGCAGCGAAGCTATTTATTAATACGAATCGATGATGTGTGTGTATCAGTTATTGATCTAAACTAATCAAATTATCGTTATTATTTATTGACCATCGTCAATGGCGAGAGCTGTGCGCACGTTTTCCCATTTTTCGGTATTTGAAACAATCGATTTTAATAGCTTTAAAATATGATTTTCGACACGCCAACGTATCAGAGGAAGAATAAGAAAATGAAGAAAAAAAAACAAAAGAACAGCTGCATACATCTTAGTTTTTTTTTGCTAAGCTATAGGAAAGGTCTTTTCGTTTTCCATGGGAAACGTTTCTGAACCAAAGGAAATCGATAAAATTGATGGCACGGATTGACATGCGAGAAAAACTTTCGTTCACGTTTTGTAATTTGTTCACTTTTTTTTATTCGTATAGATTTCAGTGTGTTGTTTATTTCTGTTGTTTAGTTTTCAGTTTGAATCGAGTTTGGCACACGGACGACTGAATATCAACATAAATTTATGTTCTTTTTGTTTTTATTTATGAACAAAATCGGTATGTGTGACCCAGATAACGTTCTTTTAGTGCACACCATTTGATTAGACGTGTAGATATCAAATGTCTTCTCTTTAAAGAACCACCGAACAAAATTTGTCACCGGAAAACTTAAAATGCAGTTAAATTAAGTGAATGAAATAGGCGCTAAATATTGTTTGTGAAAAAATGGCGATAAAACAAACTTTCTTTGCCATTGTGTTCTAATGACATAAATTACATCCAAAATTATGTTTTTACACCCAAAAAATGAAATTTTCAATTTTTTTTATCACGTACGCCATAACGTTAAAAATCAAAAGTATACCTTGAGTTCACCGGGGCTTCGAACTATTGCAACCAAAAAGAACATTCTTTCAGAGAATAGAAAGAAAATATGTTTGGTTCTTGGAAATTAACAAAACTGGTTGAAGTGGCAAAATTGTGCAAAATGAAACTTCGTACATTTTAAGCTGCACAATAATATTTGGGTGATGAAAAAGTGCTTGACTTTGTCCTCTTTTTTAAAAAGTAAAAATATGTTCTTTCGCTTAACCATTTTGTATTATCATTTTTCATACAATAAAAACATACAAACTGAATCCGAATCAAACACCTGTTTCGTTTCACATTTCCCTTTCTATCTTGTAAATCATAAGATGCACAAGAGAAATTGCGGTCCATTTTCATTTTTTTTTTGCAAAATAAAAAATCTGTCAGAAAATCGTTCATTCTACGCTTATTATGTCTTATGAAATGACGCCACTTGTACGTATACAATAGGCCAACTGATTGAGTATTACCATATTCTTTGTATCCGATAGAGATGAGGTGAACAGTAAAAATCATTCGCTTTTGTGATGATGACATCTGGTAAATTGTCTATTGCAGTTGTTACTGTCCAATTTGTAATTACAACTTAATTTTTGATTTGTGTTTTTTTTTCTAACTTTTTCAGTGTTCCATGAATACACACGCCTATTAAACTATAATTATGTGCGGCTTCTTACAAAACAAGACAATGGCATTTGTGCTTTTCTTCTTCTTCTTGATATTTTCGTCAGACATTTTCCCTCTCGCACTCACAACGACGAATTGGTCAAGCGAAATCGGCCAAGAATTGTATTTGAAGGGAAAATAACGAAATGATTACTTTGCCGCTTTCGGACATGCGACAGCATACCAATGCAAAATGAAGTATTTATGAAACGATTTTGTTTTCTTCATTCCATTAAATGCGCGTTTATCTCTTTAATTCGGCGGGCTTTGTTCGGCCATTTTTTGTGTGTTCATTTTCATTGTTATCTGCCACAATTTCGTTGTATCTCTTTCACTTGAATTTTCACCACCCATTATTATCATTATGATCAAAAAGCGACCTATCTTAAGGTTATGTACATCATACTCAATTGTATGCCGGAGTATATCTAATTTATAGCTTTAAATTAATATTTAATGCACTAGCAGCGGTTCACTCTCATAACAGCAACAATAAAAAGAGCATCGGTAACCGCAACATCAACCCAGAAGGGAAAAGAAAATATGAGAAAATGAATTTTGAATTGTATACTTGCAAACGAAACATTATCATGTAATTAATGTATGACATTGAGATCGGTTTTCAACCGCTTGTGTGTGTATGCTTTTTTCACTTCATCCAGATTTAACTGTTACCTTTTTGCATCGTTTTTTCGTATTTTGCATGCTTTCATTTCGCTTATTTAATTGTCAACATTTATATTAAATGCGATTAATCTTGAGATTTTGCGATAACGACAGAAAAAAATGAAAAGCTTGATAAACGACATCAGCGAAGAAGAAGAAAACGGAAAATACAAAGGTTTTTGGATTCGAGCATTGTGGTTCGTCATCGAGCTTCAATATAGTCTTCCCTTTGTTGTGAACATTGACTCATTTTCATCCATGTGCTTTGTGCGCACACACTTTGGATGCGATTTTCTCTGTTCGGTCGCGTTTATGATGGCGCACTTCCAAACATGGGAATTGTGTATAGAGGTCAAATGAGTTGAGGTGTTCAATGTGCCTGTTTCAATGCACCGTGCAAAACGTTACCAACATCGTTCCAAGCATCAACCATACGGAATGAGAATGAAAGACATCGTTTGTTGATGATGATGATGATGGTGATGATGCTGCAGCTATTGTTGTTCGCTTTCAAGAATTGCCATCTCATATGCACTTAAAACATATCGCATAGCACAGAGTGCTATGCATGAGATTGATTTGAATGGTGTTCGACCGAAACGCAACTGAATCGTGAAGTAAGTCTCATTGACGGTAATAATAACAATGAGGAGAGAAAGGTCATGAAATTAGTCGAAATGAATTAAAAGCCTACAAAATATAACTAATGATAGAAAAAATTCCAATAGTATAATGAAAAAGAAGTGGAAGACGAGAAAAAAATATGCACAGAATAATAAATGCGATATCATTATAAAATCTAAAATAATAAATGGTCCTATGGTATGCATTTGAAGCAATGCTGTTGGTTTTTGCTTTCTCTTCGATTCGATGATTTTTCATTATAGAAGCTAATTTATAAAGATGCATCCGGATTGATTTGATTACCAATAAAAAAAAAGATTCAAAATAGTCATGGTTGAGTGTTGTGAGAGATTCCTTGAACGGTCGACGATGTTTGTCCCGCAACAAGCTCGTGACTGAAAAGAAAAACAGTGCCATAAAATCGATAGATAGATATATATTTGAAGAAGAAGAAAAAAAGCGTATAAAATATTGTAATTGTACCAGTTATAAAAGAAAAAAATACAAATATCAAAACGGTTCGAATGTTACAACCACAAATTCACAGCTTTCTTTGCTTATTGACTTGCTTTCGCGTGCCGTTTAACCTTATGCGGCTTCAATTCGATGGTGCGCACATACACAAACGCTCATTGGCCAATAGCACATGAGCCCAATGTCTATGATCTATCTGTGGTTACTTCAAATTCCAATGGTAGCAAATCATGGTATGAGTGTCAGTATGTTTGGTTTGGCCAACCGAAATCGAAATCAGATTTGCTTCATTTCACCTCTCCTCTTTTGACACCAACAAATACAACGATACAAGCACCACACAAATACATTCTACTGTCGACAGCTTACATGGCCTTTACTACTTTTCATCATGCTAACATGAAATTCTCCTTCTGCATGCGGTTCAATCTATGTTAGTAGACTTTGTTGTGTTTCTCGTATTTTCTTTTTTACCTATTTTTCCACTTAGCTTTTCTGACTGTCTCGTTCGCTCCATCACGTAACTTCATCTTGACTTCTCACCGAGACATTTGTGCCATTGTCGACACTAAAACGTCGTCGTCGTCGCCGTTGCTGTTGCTGTTGTTGTACTCTCTCATTGTGCACACATTACTCTTGTGGTACACATACAAGCAATTTGATTACAATAATAAAATGCAAGTTCACACGATTTTTATATAAATATGACTGCTTTATCAACGGAAACCACCAGTTAGAATCTAGACAGCGCACGGTCAAAGTCACCAATAATAAAAACAAAGACCATAAAAAAACTTAGTTCATAGTGCTCGTTGCCAAAATACCAAATTCAGTTGAAGTGGATTTTTTTTGTGTGATTTTATTTTCTACCTGATTTGGTCAGTACGTGCGTAAATTCAGCCAATTTGAGTTAATAAATAATTCGGTGTCCACAACAAAGATTTTGTTTGTTCTTTGTTCGTTCTGGATTTATTCTGTTGCTTAAATTATTTAAACGCATCTGAAGAATAGAAACAATAAACCATGTTGCAGAAAGTATATTGTGGTTTTGTCATAGTGTTGTTATGGTCAGTGATTTGTTCAACGGCCAACGATGAACAACACCAACAGACAAATAGTAGTAATAATGCGGCGCCTGGATTACGTTCAATAATGAGAATCTATGATGAGTGTCAGAGATCTGATGGCGGTATTACAATGTGCCTGAAGAAAAAAGCCGTTACATTTATCGATCGAATTTCAAAAATCGATGTGATTAATGTTGGTGATGGAGTTCGGGTGGTTGGCGTTGATAATGCAGCTGCAGCGGCAACAATCAAAACAGCAAAATCACTCAGCGAAAATGATTTGGATCAAATGATGCCACGCAGCTTAGAAGATCGTGATTATTTCTTAAACAATATGCTCACGGATAAATTGGCCAATTACATTAGCGGTCGCAAAATTCAAATCAGCCTACCACAAGTTACGCCAAACGAACTTGGACGTGGACTGGAAGAAGGTGAGATCATTTGGCACTCTTTTTTTGTTGTTGTAGAGCATAGCATTTTATTCATTGAATTTGTGTAAAAATATCATATACGTCCATCAATAGTTTTAGAGAGAAACACATTTCAGATCACATTCAAACATCGAATCCAATTTGTGCCAAACCATTGCTTTACAAACCAATTTATTGCGCGGATAATCACCGATTTCAAGCGATTTTGAATTAATTTTCTTCCGCTAACCAATTTTATTTTATTTTATGCAAAACGTATTCAGCATAAACGTTTGTTAAAACGTGCCTCAGAACAAGTTCTCTTGTTGATTCGCGCTTAACAAAAGTTAACTAAAACAACAAAGTTGGTTAGTATTCAACCGGTAAAATGTAAATTACATAAAAAAGTAACCGCGCAATGGTTGAAAAATATATGTGTAAAGCATGTGTTTGTGTGCTTTGGACAGAATAATTCGTAAAATCGGAAATTATTTTATATATATTTGTCAACGTGATATTCGGAAGAACGCATACGTATTTCCATTTGATCGAATCCAGTTTTATGTTTGTCAGAAATTGATGACAATAAAATTATATGACCGAAAGAAAAAAAAGAATGTAACTTGTTTGAAATGCGCCAAATTGAAGTCAAAGTCAATAATTGCTTGAATACATTTATCATACTAAGTAAGAGCTTGCCGGTTATAACTGACTATAGTCAGATCAAACATCATTACAAATGCATTAAAGCGAATCGATTTATCACGTTTCCACTTTCGGTTGATTGCACGGTGCAAATACTTGCATTTATCGCATTTCTCGCAGAAGATACTCGATTGGTTTGCATGTTGTGATACGAGCATGCACCAAACGCAATTTCTAACTGGCAAATTGTACACGAATGCCATTTTGTTATAGTGTCATTTAACGTGGTGTCGCATACATTGAATAAAACGCATCATTACAATCGTCGAATTCTAGTATGTGAAAAGATCCAGTCAGAATGTTGTTTATTTGAAAACGGTTAAAGAAGATCACGTTTCGTGTTTTATTTCATTATTATATAGTTGATTCGTTGTTGTTTACTTCGTTGCACAGTAGGAAAACCAAACCAAACCGAACACTACACAAAAAGTGGGTCAATGGCTCATTTCCACATCCATTCCCATTCGTAATTGAATGAAAGATTTCAACAGACAACAAAACTCTTTTACGGCGGAAAAATTAATCATGGAAGAATTGGTGTTGGATGAATGAAAGAATAGCAAATAGAATGAAATTCCATACAATCGTCGGTCGCTTGTGTTTCAATAGGTTGTCTGTTTGCTTAGATTTGCGTGATGTTCTGCAAAAAATAATTGAATAATTTGAAAATAATAGTTATTTTCAATATATTTGAAGTACTTTGAAGCCACATCAGTTTTTTCTCTCCTCACATTTACTTGCAGGATCATTGATTGCCTGCAGTCTTTTTCAATAAATCGAAAATAAAAATCTCACATTTCATCGATTGAGTGGTTGATATACATTTTTTTTACACCGAGTCACATCCATAATATTACCAATAACAATCACACAATTTTATGATTAGCAATTTTTTACGCTGTATTTGCACGCGTCCACAAACAGTGTATTTATTTACACTGAGCAAGCGTGTATAAAGTATAGCAAAATATCGTGCATGGCGAGAATTCGATGCGATTTATTATCGATTTAATTGATGTGGTATGGGTTTCAGTTCAGTTGTTTCGTTCCTATATCTTTCATTTCATTTCGTTTCGTTTCCAGTCAATTCTGTACGTATAATTTAATAACGATTTTTTATGCTTCTTTCTTTCACTCTGAATATATATTTTTTTGATTTATTTGAACAATCAAAACAATTTTTTGTGATTTAATTACAATTTTTTTTGTGATTTAATTAATCGCTCTTTCGATCGGTCTGTATCCCGCTGTATAAAATGGATTGGCATGTGTTGTTGACCAAATCCACGAGTCACGATTTTTACAATTTAAAAATCGATTCGTATTATTCCATTTCGTCAAAATACAAGTAACAATTAAATAAATGGAAAAAACTGATTTCGTGGTCAAGAATCCAAACCAAAATGGGATTCGATTTAAAAAACAATGTTCAAATCATTAAGGTTTTATTGAAGGTTCTCTCATTCACTTTCTTTCTTTCACCATTTGAGATGATTTCACCAAGTTTGACTGCGTACGCATCGATCTGATTGCACACAATTCAAACATTGTACACATAATAATCATCTGTACTCGCTTCAAATTGCCTATCCATATTTAGCGAAGAATTCATTCATCGGATTTCTCTGTGTAACTGTGCATAGAGAGGAAGAAACAATCAGTGATTATAATAATAGATTTCCGACTGAAAATCTCTCATTTCTATTCTAGACGCGCCGTTCGAAATTTATGCGTCAGTCACATAAAATGGGCCAAGTGTTAATGTTTTAAAAAAAAATTAACAACACAATTGTTTGCTGCCTATATATAATGAGAGTGGCAACGTATTTTCCAGAACAATCGCATGAAACCAATCAAACGAAATTACCACATTTGATTGACTTCTGATTTTGGTATTGTAACGGTGTGCTTCGAAAAATATTGAGAGAAACAATTTTCCTCACATATGCCACATTTTTGTAATTTCAAATCGCTTCAGGTCCTTTATCTGTTAGTCAGAAAAGAAAAAGAATTTCTCTCTAAAACGTTCATTTACGGCAAAATAAATGGAAAAATTTGATGAGAACTCTTGCAATGATGGAATAATAGCAAAAATACATTCCATCACATTTTGTTTCCAAACTCCCGCACATTCTTGCCACTGGGATCATTCTCTTGTATTTTTCTTTTATTCAATTACGTTAACTGAACGCAAGTGATTGCCCCAGAACATGCGATTCTTTCTTCATTTAAAAAAGAAATGGTACATTTAAAACGAATTACTAATATTCATAAGTAAGTATGATCCAGATTGGCTGTTGATTTATTTCTCGTATTTTTTTCTTGATTCTCGCGCGCTTGTGTACGCTTTTCTTTTATATTCTATTTTTCGAATGCTTGTTTCGTACGCATATTATCTCTCTACTGGCTAAAAGAGGTAATTCACACTTTACCGAACAACAACAGAACATGATATGCATTGTATTTTTTTTCTGGGTTTTCGGTACCACTTTCTGTGTGTGTCTATTTAATTATGTACGCGGTTCTTTAGCGAGTATTCTTTTTACTTTTTTTTCGCCTATACTTTTTTATTACATGTACAATTAACCTGATTTATGCTATTTTTCAGTTGTTCGGCGTGCATCGACCGCCTTATTGTTGTGAATGAAAAATCTATATGGAAAAGAACATTAATCCGTCTGAAGAAATAACAACAACAGCCAAATCTGAATATAGTTCATGTTCTTTACCACACTCTCTCATACGCACAATACAACGATCAAAATTGTTAACTTTTGTTAACAAAGAGAGAAAAAAAACAGAAAAAATATAACGCGAACAAAAATTTATGCCGACTTTGTACTTGGCAGGTCATTGTTGAGCTCAATAAAAATGCGCTCTTGATATAATACCATTATTGCTCGGTTTTTATTGGTAATACGACGCGCTCAAATTGAGATCAGTAGAGTTTGGGGTTGAAGTACGAAGAATTAAAAAAAATTAGTATTTCAAATAGTTTTGTTCAGCGTCACGGGGCAATGGAACCACTTTCCATTGAATCGTGTTGTTTGCATACATGACTAAATTCTCATAATTACCGAAAACCTAAACAATTGTTCGGTGCGTTAAGAGAAAACAGATTTTACTGTTCTGGATCGGATCCCCTAGTTTATGTAAAGAAATGTAACACATGTGAAAATATCGCACAATTTTCACGAATAAACTCAATTTCGATGGAATGGATCACTTTGAACTTTCACTGCGTGCAACCTTTGACGTATCATTATCATGATCACCCACAGAGAGGACATAGCGAGAGGAAAAGTAATCGATTCGTCATGTCAAAGTCGTTGATTGATTAATCTGACGAAAACCTTTGACCTGATGCAATGGCTTGAAAACGATTTCATGAATGTCAAAGAAATAACGTTGGTTCTTTGAATTGGAAAAATCACAATAATAAAAATAAAATTTGTCAATTTTTTGTCCGAATAAAAATTCACCAAACCAATTCCCAATGAAAACATTTCCAGTCGGATAATAACGTCCTGAAATCATTTGCGATCACTGTTCGCCTGAGTATGTGCACTGTGAATCATACAGTTGTTGTTTTTAATTTTTGTTTATCAATTCAAATTCATCGTTTTGTTCATTGCCGTTAGGTCAAGGCGCATTACTTTCTCTTTAGATTTTGCAACATAGAGTTATTGTATGTGAGCAGCAAATGTTTCAAAAAGGAAGGAATAAGCCATTAGCGAATGCAAAGCATAGAATTAATGCGCTTCAAAGAAGCCTACGTTGGTTTCAACAGCAATACGCAAATAAATACGTTGAGGTTGCATTTTTTTTCTCTTCATCGTGCTGAATTTGCTGGAGAGAGAAAAAATAGGACACAATCTCGAAATGACTATCTCTTTTGCTGGCAGTTCAGTGGCCATGGATGTAATGGTAATAAAAGTACCATTTCGTATGATTTATACGATGGCCAGATATGTTGTTTTGTTCACTGAAAAGATGCACACAAAATGCAAATAGACGCCAAACCATTATGTATGAAATCGTGATCATGCATTGAATCAAATGCTACGGTCCCGATCGTTTGGGTGTGTATGTGTGCGCGTGTGCGCGCACCTCTTGGAATTTTACTCGAATTGAAAGGCCTTCATGGCAGTGAGTGTGCTCGATGTGTTTACTCTTTTCTTTTCTTTTTATATAAGAATGCACACTCCAGCTCAATTATACTCAAAAACACAAAGAGGAATTTTCTCTTTTTCTTCTCGCTTTGAAACGGAAAAAAAATCGTGCTTTTAGCAATTTTGCGCAATGGCGACTGCATT